TTCTATTTCCTCCTGATTCAGTCTTGGGATATTACACATTCCTAGGAATTTGTCAGTTTCTTCTAGGTTGCCATTTAACTGGCATATAATTGTTCCTAGTACTCTCTTATGAGGGCTTCCCAGGTGGCACTAGGGGTAAAGAACGTGCCTGCCAGTGTAGGAGACATAAGAGATGTGGGTTCAATCCCTAGGTGGAGACGATCCCCCAAAGGAGGGCATGGCAACCCACTCCAGTATTCTTGCCTGGAGAGTCATACGGGCAGGGGAGCCTGGTGGGCTACAGTCCATGGTCTCACAAGGACTTGGACACAACTGAAGCGATTTAGAACTTAGACATTCTCTTATGATCCTTTGTATTTGTATGGTATTAGTTGTATCTTCTCTTTTTTCAATTCTGACTTTATTTATTTGGTCCCTCTCTCTTCTTTTTCTTGATGAGTCTGGCTAAAGGTTTGTCAGTTTTGTTTTTTCTTTTCAATGAACCAGATGTTAGTTTCACTAGTATTTTTTTTTTTTTTTTTAGTTTCTACTTACTTAGTTCTCCTCTGAGTTTATAACTCTTTCCTTCTACTAACCTTAGATTTATTTGTTCTTTTATTAGTTTCCTTAGGTGTAAGTATAGGTTGTTTATTAGAGATTTTTCTTGTTTCTTGAGGTAGGCTTCTATTGCAATATAATTATCTCTTACAACTACTTTTTTGCATCCCATAGCTTTTGAGTCATTGCTTTTTTGTTTTTTCATGTGTCTTCAGGTATTTTTTGATTTCCTCTTTGATTTCTGTAGTGATCCATTGGTTGTTCAGTAGCGTATTATTTTGCTTCCATGTGTTTGTATTCTATTTTCTTCACATTTCCCCCTTGTAGTTGATTTCTATTCTCATAGTGTTGTAGTTGGTAAAGATGTTTGATATGATTTCAAAGTTGTAAACTTTTATTTTACTGCCTATTATGTGATCTATCCTGGAGAATGATGCAAGTACACTGGAATGTGTATTCTGCTGTTCTGAATACAATTTTCTTTATATAATTATAAAATCCAATTGGTTTACCATGTTGATTAAGACCAGTGTTTCCATACTGATTTTCTGGCTGGAGATCTGTCCATTGATGTGAGTGGGGTGTTAAATTCCCCCCAATTTTTGGACATTCCCTGGTAGCTCAGTGGTAAAGAATCCACCTGCCAATGCAGAGACACTGGTTCCGTCCCTGGTCTGCGAGCATCCCACATGCCGCAGAGCAACTGGGCCTGTGCGCCACAACTGCTGAGCCCATGGTCTAGAGCCCAAGAGTCCCTCCACAGCAACAGAGGCGACTACAGTGAGCAGCTCACACCACCGCTAGAGAGTAGCCCTCACTCGCAGCAACTGGAGAAAAGTCCGTGCAGCAATGAAGATTCAACACAGCCCAAAATAGACAGAACAAATAAATAAAATTATTTTAAAAAATTCCCCCTAATTTTTGCATTCCAGTGAGTTTCTCCCTTATGCCTGCTAGTATTTATGCCTGTTCCCCCTCCCTACCCCCCAATCCTGGCCCTCAAGCAATGTTGCAGTAAGCATCCTGGTACATATATCCTTATGACTGATTCTTTAATTTCTTTTGAATAGATTTCCAAACATGGGATTTATGAATTAAATGTTATCTCTATATGTATCTTAATAATTGTTTTTTTTTAAAATAATTGTTTTTAAAAGGTTTTGTCACTCACACTCCAACCAACATAGTTAGTACCTGACATCTATATCTATTCTGCCTTGGTTTTTTTTGCATTTAGATGTTATTTTTATTAATTTTTCCTAATATGGTTGATGAAAACTGGTTTCTCCTTATTTGCAGTTGCATTCTTCTAAACTACTACTGGAGTTGAACATCATGTCTTTTTCGACCAATGACACTTGCTTTCTCTTTTTTGATTTACTTAACTATGTACTTAGTCTGTATTTGTGATATAAACTACCATTTTGTCTGTCATTTTAGAGGCAAATATTAATTCTCATGTATTTTTTTTAATTTTTAAAATTCTATTTCTTGCCATCTGAAAATCTTTATGTTTTATGTAATCAAACATGTTTATCTTTTCTCATATTATGCCTCTGAATTTTCATATCTTACCTAAGGCATTAAATATCATTTAGACTATTTAGAATAAGAAAGAAATGAGATGTGTGGAAGTAAGAACTTATGAAAATTAATTTCTTTGAGTTAATTTCAATGAAGAAAAAAGCCTGGAGATGTGGTAGTATTATCAATTTGAGTGTTGTCAAGGACAAACAAAGCCATACACTAGTTATATTTTTACTGTCATCAGTAATATACTATTTCACTGGGGAGAAGTGCAGTGTGAATACAAACTCAGACACTTATCAGTATTTAAATTTTAATCAATAGTATACTGTTGCAATAGGGGAAAGTCCAGTGTGAATTGTAGAAATCAACTTTTGATTTGTACATAGGTGATCTCATGTTTTAAAAGGAGAATGAAGGAATGGAAGTTGGGGAATTAGCAGGGGCCTAGTGGAGTTAGGTGGAGAAGAAAATGGCAACCCACTCCATTGTTCTTGCTGGGAGAATCCCAGGGATGGCGGAGCCTGGTGGGCTGCCATCTATGGGGTCACATAGACTCGGACACGACTGAAGTGACTTAGCAGCAGCAGCAGCAGCAGTGGAGTTAGGGAAGTGAAAGATTATAAAAATTGAGAAGCAGCCATTAGGCAAGTGAAATCACTCTGCTTTCGTTAACTGTTCCTTATCAAATTTAGTCTCCTGTCCTTCCACTAAGACTAGAAGATAGGGGCTCTCTATCTTCATTTGTTACCTGGAACCAATACTAAATTTTTTAGCAGCCTTGAATTTTTCTCAGATAGGCACTTTAAGGGAAGCCAGGCTCATTCCAAGGATGTGGCTTTGAGCTCCTATAAACTATGTTAGTCTTCATATGCTAAAGTTGAGGTGCTGTTGAGAAGAGGTCTCAGAGGAACCTGGCTAAAGAGAATTTGGTCAAGGAATCTTAGGCTCCAGCTTCCTAAGGTGGACTGTTTTCTTGAATACTTCTTTGAATAAAGATTTCTAGTATTACTTTCTATTACACTTCATGTACATGGTAACATTTTCCATAAACGACATAAAAATATCTTTTTAAGTTTTAGTGACAGAATTCTTTTGAAAGGGTAAGTGGGCGGAATGAGAAAGCCTTTAATCCACCTCCACTGTCTCTTCACCAAGGGTCCTTTCAGCACAGTCTTTCCTAGGATACCTGTGTCAAGGTTACTGACATGGTAAATTCTAATCAACTAGTTTATATTTACTGAAGGCCTTTTAGGCTAAAGGTACTTAGGTGTTGTGAGCAAAATGTAGTTTGGAAAAAGTAGAAGACATAATTTAGCTCATTCTTTATAGTTTTTAGAAAAAGGAGACTTAATCTTCTTATTTTTATGTTCTTACAAAGAAGTGTTTAGTTCTTGTGTGACTTGCATCTTGTTCCATTAACACCTCCATTTCCCCTGTTTGTACTGTGTTCCACTGGCTGTTCCACAAACACACCAGAAACACACAGAAAAAAACACACTTGCCTAGAAAGGTCTTTCTTTCCCTAGCTCACTCTCTCACTTACTGCAAGTATTAGTCACTCAGTTGTTTCTGATATTTTGTGACCCCATGGACTGTAGCCCACCAGGCTCCTCTGTCCATAGAATTCTCCAGGCAAGAATACCGGAGTGGGTAGCCATTTACTTTTGCTCAAATGCCATTCTGCTCAATGAAGCCTGATCTGACCACTACTTTTATTTTTATTTATTTATTTATTTTTTTTTTTGGATCTGACCGCTATTTTTAAAATTACAAGCCATTCCCCATTTCTCTTTCCCCACACTACATTATTTGCATGTTTATTCTAGTTGTCATTGGCCTCCTTCCGCTAGAATGTCTGTGTCATTATAATTAATATTTTTAAAAAACACTATTTTGTTCACTGGTTTTTCTCAAGTACCTGGAATACTGCCTGCCACTTGGAAGGAACTCAATAAATGTCCAACAAATGAATCCTTTTTTTGGTAGTGGATTTTCTACTTCCTTTCTCCAAGTTTAACCTTTCTTTTTATCCAATTTGTTTTCTTTTCATCCATACTATTCTTCATGGTCATGTACTAGTTTTTTTTCTTTTCCTTTTCTTTTTGGCTGGGAGGGGTATTTTAATTACAGAAATGGAATCATATAATACCCGTCACTCAGTAGCTTTTCTCACCTAACAATACTAGGACGATATAAATCCTACAGTCTTTTTAATGCTTGCATAATGTTCTATTATATGAGGTCAGTACATTATTTTTACTCATGTCTGTCACGATGTTTCCACTCCTTTCACTTTGAACTGTCTTATCCCTGGCTCCCCCGTTTTTCCTTTTAAGATCCCGTGGAGAAAGGGAATGGCAACCCACTCCGGTATTCCTGCCTGCAGAATCCCATGGACAGAGGAGCCTGGCAGGCTACAGCCCATGCGGTCGCAGAGAGTCGGACACGACTGAGAGACTGTCACTCTCACTGGCAGTACCAGTTACGCATTCATCCCATACCCAGCAGTTCCGAACCTAGCAATCACTCAGCAAAGTATTTCTTGCACCCCTGGTGTTTTTGGCAGCGATTAGCTGTGACCGTTGTTTGAGCGAGAGCGATTGTAGGGACAGAAGAGGGCACCGCTGAAGAAATTAAAAGCTGGGGTGAGCCTCCTCTGGGGCCTTTGGTATCTCCCTGAAGCAGGGTGAGTTTCGGGGGGGTGGGGCAGGACCGGCTTGGGGTACCCAGACCACCCGGTTGGGAACTTCAGGAGGGAAGTGTGGCCCTGGGGTGTCAGGGGCCTGCGCTGAGGAGTAGGGGGTAGGGTGGGAGCGAACCTGGGCGGGGCTTGGAGGGGTGAGGCCAGCCAGGGGGCCGGGCGGACGGAGAGCGCAGACTCAAATGCGGGTGGCAGCCGGGCGCTCCAGTCCGACCGCAGCGTTTGCAGAGCCATGGAATCCGTAGCTCCTGGCCTCGAGTGCTCGACTCTGCGGCTGTGGCTGGGGCTGTTGCTACTATGCAGCTGGTGGTACCCTGGGAGCGCCGAGCCGCGGGCCCCGCCGGAGAAGATCGGTAGGCGAGGAAGAGGCGGCGCGCTGCGGGCGTGGCGAGAGCGCGCCCCGCACCGCGCGGTCGCTGCCAGCTGCTGCAGGCCGGGCGCCCGCGACGCCCGCTGGGTCGCGCGGAACCAGCCCGCTGCGAATGTGGCGCTCTTCCCGGTTTGCGCCTCCGAACCGCTTGCAGTGCCCCCAGGGAACGCCCTTTCTCGGGCGTGGAGACATGCCCACTTGAGGAATGGGCAGTGGAGGTGGGGGCGACCCGGACCAGTCCGCGGGCGGGCGCCCGGCGTCCCTGCAGCCCCTGTCTCGGGGGGCCTGGGGCTCCAAGGAAGCAGAGGCCCCTCCCGCGGCCTTCCTTTCTGCACTTGTTCGGAGGCCGGTCCTCTGGCCGCTTGGAGCTACTGGCCAGTTCCGCTCTGCAGATGAGAGGCGCACGCCGGCGCAGCACGCCGAGCAGCGCGAACAGGCTGACCGCGCTGACCGCGTGTGCTTCCCGCGATGGGCTGGGGGGGGGGGTACCCCTCCCCCGTCTTCTTTGTTGAAGTCGGCTGGCTTGCAGAGGCCCCTGGCTTCCACAAGTACTTTACCTAGGACGACTACCCAGCGGAGTCACTCTTTTAGTTTGATTCGTTTTGGTGGTTTGCTCCCTGTTTATTTTGTTTTGCTTTTTTTGTTTGTTTGTTTATTTCTTTTTAACCCGTTTTCTTTGGGATCATTAAACTATTTACATTAACGAGACAGAACAAATCTAGGCAAAAATGGCGGCCACTTTATTTAAAATGCGTGCTGGAAAGGCCCAACCTCCTCTCTTCCTTTGCATTGGGCACAAAGGAGCGTGTGCGGGCCACTTGGGGCCTCCGCAACGAACTGAGAGGCTTGGGGCATCTGGCTGGGGGAAAAATAAAAAGTAACGATGTACTACTACTGTTGTCTGGGGGCAATGTCTGTCCAGATTTAGAGTTCTTTCTGTCTTCCCTGCAACTGTCCCATGCCTCCCCCTCCCCAGGCTTCCCTAAATTGTCGATAACTGCTTTAGGTAATGTCGGTTGTTGATTTATGGCCTTTCAAAAACTAAACATGCAAAGCTGGTAAGAGAAAAAACCCTGTTCCTTTTTTTCTTTTTCCCACCATAGCGGTTATTGGAGCTGGAATTGGTGGCACTTCAGCAGCCTATTATCTGCGGCAGAAATTTGGGAAAGATGTGAAGATTCACGTGTTTGAAAAAGGAAAGGTGGGAGGCCGTCTGGCCACCTTGAATGTGCAGGGGCAAGAATTTGAGTCAGGAGGTTCTGTCATCCATCCTTTAAATCTGCACATGAAACGTTTTGTCAAGGATCTGGGTATGTAATTTGGTCTGAGAGCAAAGCAGACTTCAAAGTGCATGGATATTGTTATCAGATGGGGAACTGAAACTTTTCTGCCTTATTAATTGTCTTTTACAGTGAAGCTGGTAAAACTGCCTTCCTCACTTTCCTGCTAGCAATTGGCACTGCCTTAGGAGCTGCTCTGCTGTAATGGGACACTACAGTATCTGTATCTTCAGTTATCTGGAATTACAGCCATGGCGCATGGGTTGGGGATGGTTGCTGTTGTTGATTCTTAAATATTCTGGGTTTGTGTTAAAGAATCAAAGAATGGTTTGAGTTAGCAAAACCTAGCATGCTCATTTTACAGCTGGGGAAATGAGGCCCAGAGAGTTGAGGTGTCTGACTTAAGGTCACTCACAGCTGTAGGGGCAAACATGAGCCTGGAACTTGGGACATCTGACTGCTTCACTCCCAGCAGAGGCATTGGACAGGTTGTGGGGGAAGACGGGGGCCTCTGCAGGCTCCCTTCTCAGGGAATATTGTGTAATTTCAGCCTCCTTCCAGTTATGAGAAGTATTGAGTTACGCAGAATAGGATTTGCACGGGAATGGAAATCCTGTTTTCCTTAGCTGCTTTCCACATTTCCTGTGGATGCTTCCAGGGCCTCTTCACTCCACAAGGGCAAGTGTGTGCCGGGAGCAATTTATGCTGCAAAAGTCATGTCTGACATTTCTGATTTTAAAATGAATTCAGCTGTCCTTTGGCTTTTTCTTTTGCCTTTTTTAGTCTTTTGAGACTAAATATAGCCAGTTTCTAATTTTGATATAGCTGCATGATCATCCAACCCATCTTTAAGGGAATCTGCTTTTGGACAGTGTGATGTCTAGAGTATCACACACCGTTCTAAAGATAGAGCTCTGTTAACATGTCTTCTGAGAACTGGGGGAAGCCCAGATTCACTCATTTCAGAGTGTCCCCCATAGCTTCAAATTACCTGCTCTCATTTGATCAGTACAGAAACCATTGACTTAGTTCCCCTTTCTTTGTTTTTGCAGGTCTCTCTGCTGTTCAGAGCCCTAGTGGCCTAGTGGGGGTGTATAATGGAGAGACCCTGGTATATGAGGAGAGCAGCTGGTTTATAATTAACATGATTAAACTAATTTGGCACTATGGATTTCAGTCCCTCCGAATGCACATGTGGGTAGAGGATATATTAGACAAGTTTATGAGGTAATTTTTTCTCTTCCATTTAACCTAAGACCTTTTATTAAATAATCTGTAGGAATTACAGTTTTTGGAACAGTTCTCTACCTAACCACAAAGCCTATTTGTAAGGTTGTTAGGAAAAATGTTTTGTATATTATATGCAGGGCTTTTATTCACTTCGAACGTGAAGGGGTCATTTATTTTTGCTTCTGAAAACATATTTTGTAAATGCTTGTTTAATGTTGTCAGACACTTTTACATGCTCTACACATACTAACTCCTTGAAGTCTTAGGACAGCTCTCTGAGGTAGGTGCTGTTACTAGCTTTGTAGGTTACTGGAAGGTGGAGGCATAGAGAGATTTTAGGTATGCAAGTCCACCTGCCTAGTAACTGGTGGAACTGGAGTTCTTACCAAGGCCGTCTGGCTCCAGAGTCCTCCCTCTTAATCTCTGAACTGTTTTAGTGTTGTGTGTAGATGGATGAGGTGATACGTACAAGAGCTTGTAGAAAACTTAAATGAGCTTTATTTAACTGTGACATGATGTTTCAGTGAGCCAGCAGCCTGAAATAGCATATCAGTTCTGTGCCCCAAGAATTTAAATTAAGGTATATATTCCCACACTGTCCTGCATAGTGAGAATGTATGTGCCTCTTTTCCTTCTCTTTGTTTTTCTGTATTTTCAAAAAGTTCTTTACATATGAATATGCATTGCTTTGGCAATTAAGAAAAATAACATAAAGTAACCAGTGTAGAGCCTTCCATGGTGGACTAGTGGTTAAGACTCCACACTTCCAATGCAGGGGACGCACATTTGACCCCTGGTTGGGGAACTAGGATGCCATATGCTATACGGCTCAGCCAAGAGAATATGAAAACAAAACAAAAACCATTCTGACTTTGAAAACTATAACTTATTTGTTAAAAAATCTTTTTATTTTGTATTGGGGTATAGTCGTTTAACAATGTTGTGATAGTTTCAGGTAGACAGTGAAGGGACTCAACTGTACATGTACATGTATGATAGAACCTATTTTTTTTTTAAGGTTGTTGGCATGTGCTAATTTTTATGCTGGTTTACAGTTTTAGATCTTGGAGAAATTCAGCTTGTAAGAGTTAAATAGGATAAATATATTCTAGTTTCTGTAACTTGTAGTAGTTGGAGATTTCTTTCTTTTTAAGCATCATTCTGAGGTCAATTCCTTGAACATCTTTCCAGCTACTGGAGAGGTCAGCTATAGTGCAGGTTGTTCTAAAGTAGTCATTCATTTGTTTATTCATTCATGAAATATTGAGTGCTTAGTATGTGCCAGGCAGTATTCTGGGTCTTGAAGATGTAGAACCTAGAACATACCCCTGCCCTTAAAGAATATATATTCTAGTAGAGAGACAAGCAGTTCACTAGGAAAATGTATAGAACTTGTGTAGAGCCAGTCACTTTTTAAAGAAAGGTGGCATGTTGCTGCATCCTCAACAGGAAAATCAAGTTCACATGGCATGCGATACAGCCTCGCCTTTGTGAATCAGTTTTCTTGACATGTAGAGAATTGCCCTTTGAGAAATTAAGAAATCACTTTTGAAGTGAATTTAGTGTATTACGGAACTGTGAAAAAGGCGCAAGGAGGGGATACATAGATTATACTATTTTTTTTAAATGTGAGGGGCGGAATAAGGGGGTGGGAGGGAGGTTCAAAAGCGAGGGGATATATGTGTATATACTTACAGCTGAGTCACATTGTTGTACAGAGAAGCCAACACAACATTGTAAACCAGTTATCCTCTGAATTACAAAAAAATTATTTTATTGAAGTATAGTGATTAACAATGTTGTGTTAATTTCTGCTGCAGAGCAAAGTGGTTTATTAATACATACATACATTATTTTCTAATATGCTTTTTCATTATGATTTATCACAAGGTTTTGCATATAGTGGGCTTTTCTGATGGCTTAGATAGAGAATCTATCTTCCTGGGTTGGGAAGATCCCCTGGAGAAGGGAATGACAACCTGCTCTAGTATTCTTGCCTGGAGAATCCCATGGACAGAGGAGCCTGGCAGGCTACAGTCCATGGGGTCACAAAGAGTCAGACACAACTGAGTGACTAAGCATATACACATACATTGCATATAGTTCTCTGTATATTATACTATTTTTGATTTTAGAAAACAATTCCCAAACATGGAATTATGCCCCCCCTGTCCTGCCATGTATCTTTGATACTTGATTATAGAGTGCTGACCGTTATGTTGTTTAAAGGGCCACACATTACTGTTCCTTTCAATAAGAACATGCAGATCTTATTTTAATAATTTTATCATATCCATCATACCCTGTTGGATAAAGGGCAAGTATTGAGCCATCATGTTCCAGTTGCTAAATAGTGAAATACTGCTGGTCTTACGAAATAGCTTCTGCCTGCATGTTTTCTCTTCCCCAGGAATCTCTTTCCTTGCCCTCAGCAGGGAGTCTTGACTCAGTTCCAGGGCTATAATCAGTCTACTTTCTGTTTAATGCTGTTGTTGTTCAGTCACTAAGTCATTTCCGACTACCTGCAACCCCATGAACTGCTGCATGCCAGGCTTCCCTGTCCTTCACTATTACCCAGAGTTTGCTCAGACTCATGTCTGTTGAGTCAGTGATGCCATTGAACCATCTCATCCTCTGTTGCCCCTTTTCCTCTTGACCTCAATCCAGTTGTTAAATACTTGTAGTATCACCTATGTCACAAAAACCAGGATTAGGAGCCACAGAGGTTGCCAAAAAGGAGTCAGGAACAGTGAATTCCCTTACATTTCACTAGGGGATTTTTAATTTTATCTACTGTTTTCAACTCCACAGTTTGTTTTTTTCTGTTATTTCTTTCTCTTTATTAGCAGTCTATGTTTGTTCTAATCTGCATTTCTTTCTCTGTGGCCAAGATGTGTGGCATGCAGGACCCAACCAGGGATCAAACCTCTGTCCCCTACATTGGGAACACGGAGTATTAACCACTGGACCACCAGGGAAATCCCTAATCTATGTTGTTTTCATACATGCTTTAGTTCTTTAGATATGGCTTCCTTTACTTCTTTGAGCATATTTATAGTAGCTGATTTAAAGTCTTTGTCTGGCAGGTCCAATGTCTGGGTTTTCTTAGGGAGGATTTCTGTTGATTTTTGTTGTAAACTGGACATTTAAAATAATATTGACTAGTAACTCTGGACATCAGACATCTGCTCACCCCGGGGTTTGTTACTGTTGCTCTTTGTTTGTTAGTGACTCTGGAACTAATTCTGTGAAGTCGGTATTCCTTGTCATGTTTGGCTACTCAAGTGTGTGTGTGTGAGGATTGCTTGCAGTGCTCTGGCAGGTTTTGTAGCTCTAGCCTTTACTTCTGGCTTGCTCAGAGCCTCAAGGTCAGCTGAAGGTGACAGATGAGGGCCTTCTCAGGTCTTTCCTGGGCATGTGACTGTCTTGTACATGGGCATGGCCTTCTAAGTCCCTAGAAACGAATTGGGGTTTTTTATTTCCCAGTATTTCTTTTTAAAATCTTCTGATAAGCCTCTTGCTAGCCCCACTTGGTGTCACAGTCTCAGGCAACAAAAGTTTTTGACAGTTTTTGGGCTGTTTGTATAGAGTGAGGGAAAAAAAGACAAGCCCTAATCTAAAAAGAAAAGGTTTCCCAGTGGTAAAGAATCCTCCTGCCAATGGAGGAGACACAGGTTCGATCCCTGGTTCAGAAAGATTCCCTGGAGAAGGAAATGGCAACCCATTCCAGTGTTCTTGCTGGAATAATCCCACGGACAGGAGAGCCTGACATAGTCCATAGGGTCACAGAGAGTTGGACACGACTGAGCACACACACATAAACAGTCTAAAAAATACAGCAAACTAGTGACTATAACGAAAAAGAAGCAGACTCACAGAGAACAAATACAGATACAGAGAACAAACTAGTGGTTACCAGTGGTGAGGGGGGAAAGACGATGTTGGGGTAGGGGCATAGAAAGTATAAAATATTGGGTGTAAGATAGGCTCCAGGATGTATTGTGCAACATGGGGAATGTAGCCAATATTTTGTAATTGTACGTGGAGCTGTCCAGTTACTCAGTCATGTGCAGCTCTCTGCAACCCATGGACTGCAACACGCTAGGCTTCCCTATCCTTCACTATCGCCTGGAGTTTGCTCAAACTCATGTCCATTGAGTCAATGATGCCACCCAGCCATCTCATCCTCTGTCGTCCGCTTCTCCTCCTGCCTTCAATCTTTCCAGCATCAGGGTCTTTTCCACTGAGTCAGCTCTTCGCATCAGGTGGCCAAAGTTTTTGAGCTTCAGCCTCAGCATCAATACTTCCAGTGAATACTCCGGGTTGATTTCCTTTAGAATTGATTGGTTTGATCTCCTTGCAGTCCAAGGGACTCTCAGGAGTCTTCTCCAGCACCACAGTTCAAAAGCATCAGTTCTTCGGTACTCAGTCTTCTTTATGGTCCAACCCTCACATCTGTATGTGACTACCAGAAAATCCATAGCTTTGACTATGTGGACCTTTGTCAGCAAAGTGGTGTCTGTGCTTTTTAATATGCTAAGTTTGTCATAGCTTTTCTTCCAAGAAGTTAGCGTGTTGTAGTTTCATGGCTGCAGTCACCATCTGCAGTGATTTTGGAGCCCAAATAATAGTCTGTCACTGTTTCCATTGTTTCCCCATCGATTTGCCATGAAGTGATGGGACCGGATGCCATGATCTTAGTTTTTTGAATGTTGAGTTTTAGGCCAGCTTTTTCACTCTCCTCTTTTACCTTCTTCTAGAGGCTCTTTAGTTCCTCTTCACTTTCTGCCATTAAGGTGGTGTCATCTGCATATATGAGGTTACTGGTATTTCTCCTGGCACTCTTGATTCCAGCTTTAACTTCATCTAGCCCAGCATTTCACATGTACTGTGTATATAAGTTAAATAAACAGGGTGATAGTTACAGCCTTGATGTACTCCTTTCCCGATTTTGTAAATGGAGTATATCCTTTAAAATTTCTGATTAAAAAAAAAAA